TGCTGCCCGCTTCTTGTTTACAATGTCACCTGAAAGTAAAAACAGGCATTTGCATGGCACTTTTATAGCCGGCATTGCAAGGTATTTACGTGCCAGATGTGCTAAAGATTCATATGTCCCTTCATGCTTCAACCATCCCAAGGAACATGCGTCCATGCTGATGACGGGTTCTGCTCAATAACAATGCAAAGCAGTGCAGACCGACACATATTCATTTATATTATCTGAGTCAGATGCCACCAGCAGACGGTTGATATTCGTTTTTGGTGGTTTGGGATGTTCAGTTTCCGCATTGGAATGTTGATCTTTTAAGACTTCTGAAAGCATGCTCCACACCTCGTCCCTCTCAGATTTTGGACGGCACTTCAGATTCTTAAACTTTGGGTCAAGTGCTGTAGCAAGCTTTAGAAATCTCACATTGGTACCTTCTTTGCATTTTGTCAAATCTGCAGTGAAAGTTTTCTTAAAATGAACAACATGTGCTGGGTCATCATCTGAGACTGCAACAACATGAAATATGTGGCAGAATGTGGGTAAAACAGAGGAGGGGACATACAAATCTCCTCCAAGGAGTTCAGTCAGAAATTTAATGAATGAATTGTTTTTTTAAATGAGCGTCATCGGCATGGAAGCATGTCCTCTGGAATGGTGGCCGAAGCATGAAGGGGCCTACGAATGTTTAGCGTATCTGGCACGTAAATACCTTGCAATGCCAGCTACAAAAGTGCCATGCAAATGCCTGTTCTCACTTTCTGGTGACATTGTAAATACGAAGAGGGCAGCATTATCGCCTGTAAATGTAAACAAATGTGTTTGTCTGAGCAATTGGCTGAACAAGAAGTAGGACTGACTGGACTTGTAGGCTCTGAAGTTTTACATTATTTTATTTTTGAGCGCAGTTATGTAACAAAAAAAAATCTACATTTCTAAGTTGCACTTTCACGGCAAAGATTGCACTACAGTACTTGTATGAGGTGAATTGAAAAATACTATTTCTTTTGTTTGTCATTTTTACAGTGCAAATATTTATAAAAAATAATATACACTGATTTCAATTACAAAACAGAATACAATAGATTTGAAAATGTAGAAAAACATCCAAAATAATTAATAAATTTCAATTGGTATTCTATTGTTTAACAGGGTGATTAAAACTGTGATTAATCGCAATTAATTTTTTTGAGTTAATCAGGTGACTTAACTGCAATTAATCAACAGCCCTAGAAAATATAAATATATATTTTAAGTGTACTCTGTTTGATTTTCATTTAAAAATATAATTGTTGAGATGTGACAACTAAAATCTTCCAGTCAGCAGAATCTGTGTGGGATACAGGAAATAGTTTTCAAAATATTCTTTAAATAATGAATTTTGTTCATAATGTAGGGCCCTATTCAGTATGCTCATCTGTTGTAGTATAGCAGGATAGGTCACAGTCTTACAAGGCCTAATAAAGTTCTTTTAGCAGTTGTCAAAGCAACTCCAATCATCCAAACTTTGTGTTAGCTGGAGGCATTCTGCTACTCCAATATGTCACTGTATTAATTTTATTTCTATATAGATTCTTATATCGATATTATATAATTAAATTGCTGTTTTTAGGGAAAGTTATATATTTTTATATCTATATATTTATCTCTCGATATAGATATAGATAGAAAGAGTACCCTATATACTCGTTCATAAGCCAAATATTTTTGGTAAAAAAGTGATACATCAAAGAGCGGGGGTCGGCTTATAAACGGGTCTACACCAAAATTTGATGATTTTAAACTCTATGGAATCATTGAATTGAATATCTAATACAGGGATTAGCAACCTTTGGCCCGCAGCCCGCCAGGGACCGGCCTGTTTACCTGCCGCGTCCGCAGGTTCGGCCGATCGCGGCTCCCACTGGCCGCGGTTCGCCGCTCCAGGCCAATGGGGACGGCGGGAAGCGGCGGCCAGCACATCTCTCAGCCCGCGCCGCTTCTTGCCGCCCCCATTGGCTTGGAGCGGTGAACCGCAGCCAGTGGGAGCTGAGGGGCTCCATGCCTGCAGACGCTCCAAGTAAACAAAACGTCCTGACTCCCCAGTGGCTTACCCTGATGGACCGGGAGCCAAATTTTCCAAACCCTGAAATATAGGGTCGGCTTATGAAAGGGTCATACAGTTTTTGCTATTTTTACCTATCCATTTTGGGAGGTTGGCTTATAAAGGAACGGGCTAATGAACAAGTATATACGGTAACTTTCCCTAAAAAACATTTATATATTCACAGTTCAAGAACCTGCACCACAATCCCGGTATTTTTATCTCCCCAATAGGTGTTTGAATTTTCTTCCAAGGTGGTATATTCATAGCAGTGTCCAGGATCCAACATACATCATGAAGATTTTAAAATTTTAATCTTAGGTTAGCATCTTTCACAGTTAACTCTTTCCAGACTATTTTTGATGATTTTTGGTTCCCAGTGATATGCAGTTGCTCTAAAGGATTTGTAATAATTTACCAAAAATGATTCTAGGTACGAGAACTGGTGTGGTCTACATGTAATTTTTTTTTTTTTTAAGTTCATGTTCAGATGGATGTCAGAGTAGGACCCCACAGTTTCAGCACTATACCTTTTCAGTTGTAAAAACAGCCAAAAAGTCTCCTAAAGTCTTTTCTTCTCCCACTCCTGACAGTTAAGAAGAGAAAAATCTTTTTCCTGAAACAGATCTTCAGTCTATATTATGTTTTCCAATCCTTTACTTCCTGGGTAAGTTTTGAACCAACTTCTAATACAGGGGTCAGCAACCTTTCAGAAGTGGTGTGCCGAGTCTTCATTTATTCACTCTAAAATAAGGTTTCGCGTGCCAGTAATACATTTTAACGTTTTTAGAAGGTCTCTTTGTATAAGTCTATAATATATAACTAAACTACTGTTGTATGTAAAGTAAATTAAGGGTTTTAAAATGTTTAAGAAGCTTCATTTAAAATTAAATTAAAATGCAGAGCCCTCTGGACCAGTGGCCAGGACCCGGGCAGTGTGAGTGCCACTGAAAATCAGCTTGCGTGCCGCCTTTGGCACACGTGCCATAGATTGCCTACCCCTGTTCTAATAAATCACGGGTTTTCCAGAGATAAGGCTTCAATTGTGCTCCTGCCTTTACTCACAAATCTCTATTATTCACTGTAAGTTATAGGTTGGGTAGTCTTAAGATCTTTTGCGGCAAACTGGTACACTAAATGACTTCTAGAATTTCAAGCTGTTATTTTAACAGTACACAGGGCACTGGGTTATGGCGCAAGATCGATCGTTCATTTGTTTACACCAAGTTAGTATTTGGTAAATTTTGGTAATTTCAGACTAATTTACCATTACTCATTCTTTTAAAAGATTAAGATTATTTCCTAACCATGTAAACAGAGACTGCTTTAATTAATTAATTCTTTCTATTATGGTGGTGCCTACAGGCCCCAATCACAGCATCCTTATGCTAGTCCTTACAAACACAGTGAAAAGACCATCTTTGCTTTAAGAACTTAAGAGTCTGAAGTAATGATAAAACAACAGGTGGATACACACAAACAAGGGAAGCATGTGTTAACAATGAGGCAATTGTGTGTTTTCATTTTGGCTACATCTACACTTGGAGCTGGGGGTGTGATTTCCAGACACAGCAGACATACTCGTGCTAGTTCTCATCAAGCTAGCACACTAAAAACAGTAGTGTAGCCACAGTAGTACAGACAGCAGCACAGGCTAGCCACGCTAAGTACATACCCACAGGGTCCAGGTAGGTTTGTAGTTGCGGCGACTAACCTGTGCTGCCACTCGCGCTACTGCTACACTACTACTTGATGAAAGCTAGTATGAGTATGTCTATTCAAATTGGGAATCACACCCCCAACTCCAAGTGTAGAGACAGCCTCTGTGTAGTTACAATAACTAGTACAATCAGGCCCTGATTCTTGATTGGGACCTCTAAACTATTGCATTACAAAACACACAGCACCTTGAGACACCACCTTTCTCTACTCTTCTGCTTTAGGTAAATTTCTATTGGGTTGGCACTGTGAACTGTAGTTCTTAGATTAGAGCCAATAGTATCAATTATTTGTATAATTCAGATCCAAAACTGAATTAGAGGGCAATATAGACCCTTCCACTCTGTCAAAAACACTACATTAAAAATAGTGACAGCATGCAGCAGAAACTCATCTTTCACTTCCTGGATTAAATTTATATTATACAAATTGACTGCTCAAAGTGCTTTTGATAAAAGCAATTTGTTCAAGAGTATAAGACTGCTAATTACTGGACTGAAGCAACTGAGCAGTATCTAAGTAATTTTTAAACTGTATTCATTAAGGATAGCCTGGTAGGTCTTTGGCTGCCACAAAATTTAAGGTCTCTATTGGATTACAGGATTAAAGAAAAATTTCCCTAACACATTGTGTGCAGATTACAGCAGAATTCCATTTAACTCCTTAGTAATTTAGAGGTCAGTATATTTGCTCAGGCAAGTTCTGTTAGAAAACTATCTTCCTGGTCATTTCCCACTTTGCTCAGGTCTCCTTTTTCTTGGTCTGCTAGTATTGGTATTGCAACTTGTTTTAAAAGCTAGTTCATAGTTTCTCTCAAGGGCCTCTGATGAATATCATTGTTTATAGAGCTGAGTTTAAAAAGTGAACACAATACTACTACTCATAAAAAATACTTTGAAAACCCTGCCTCTATAACAGGAAGGCCAATGTTACTGTGCAGCACTACTTGAAAAATACTGTTAGGCACAGAGGTAAGACTTTCTCTTGAATTTTTAACACCATTATACTGAATTATTTCTGATGTCACATCCTTCATGATAACAAGTCTGTCTTCACAGAAAAAAACCCAAGAAATGTCAAGAATAATTAAACATGGGGCATTAGCCACAGTTGAAAGAATACATCTGTTGTGAAGAACTCCCACCACAGATTTCTGAACGTTTACTGAAAGAACAACCAGTTGTCACTGTACTTTTGTTTTTGTTACCTTTGGCAGTTCCCATTCTGATCGTGATCCATCAGCACTGTAGTAATATGGTCTACCTTGTTCGTCTACATGTTTTATCCACTGTAGAAATAAATGTGATAATAGGAAATTTAATAACCGCGACAGAAAGACTGATATCACAACACATCTTAGATACTTTGCATTCAAGCTTGAAGACAACTTGCAAATAATAAAATTCCATTTACTTCAGAAATGTACCAACTGTGCACCCTTTTCAATTAGGCAAAACTAAAAAGCAATGAGAAAGTAAATTTTATGTGCTCTTTTTCAGTTCCAGGTCACATTAACTCTCAACATCTCTGTTATAACTCCCCAGAACGTATAACCCTGTGATGTCACAGCATCGAGATAAACAGATTTTTTTTTTAAAGTACAGTATACTGCACTCTTTTCAACGTGAAAGGGTTAAGTTTAAAAGTCTGAGAACAGAATACAGAAATTTATATAAAAGTCCTGCCACTTTCTGATCAAGCTCCATTAGGTTCCTGGTACGGCTAAGAGGCGAGTTGTAGTAAGGGCCCATTTTAGAGAGATTATTGCACAAAATTATTGTTTTAAACCTTTAATTATTTAGTAAGAGTATTGACAAGTAATTTATTCAGCTCTGGTAACTATTTGTCGAGAGGACAAGCAGTCTACAGACCCAACATCTGTAACAGTGCATGCTCACAATTTCACTGAAAAGGAAGAGTTCTTAAGGGCAAAGTTCTTTGTATAAGGCCCTGATCCTAAAACAAGATATACAGACAGGCCTTTGAAGCCAGGCAGAGCCCCTCAGAAAACAGTGGGACTTCACAGATACTCTTACAATAAATTCTTTGAGTCAGGGAATGTATTTTACTGTAAAGCATAAAGTAAATTTATAATGCTATACAACATATTATAACAGAGTAACACATTCTGCAGCACCTAGGGGCAGCTTAAAGAGAGGAAAAGCTCTGGTAGTGGTGAAATTCTGAAGTTTTTTCTGAAGTAAATTAAATTTATGACTTACTTGCAAGTCAGTTTTGAGAAACTGAAGCATTAAACATGACCATTCATATCTCCTTAAAAGTACACTAGCTAAAACTTTCACAAAATTCAAGCCTTTACTAAAAATCTATTGTAATTTAAATTCTGCATCTTAAAAACGATTTTAGTATACATTACAACATATTCCAGCAGCATATCCATTTCAGTTAGACGAAATTCATAATTGTTTCAAAGAATTATTTTAAAAATAATTAAGAGCAGCGCTAATATGAACACAAACCAAAAAGATTACCAACGGTTTTACAAAATAGGGGTGTTATTCCTATTTTACAAATCAGGAAACAGTGTTATCGTGACTTGCCCAAAGTCGAAGTTAGTCAATGGCAGAAATTAGAACAGAACCCAAGTCTCCTGATACTGCTGAGATCTAGTCACTAGATTTTGCTGCTTCCCAAAGGAAGATTTAACAAGGTTATAAAAAGCAAAAGCAACTATATTTTCAGCAGGAAACAGACCCAGGGAGAGTACTATATTATTAACCCTACACAGCACCATCAAAAGAAGTGTTTCTGAAAGACAGAAAGAAGAACATTAGAATGGTAAGGAATACGTTCCTATAACATCACAAAGAGGACAGAAATATAAAGAATTGTGCAATACACATTTTTGTGTAAATTGGAGCTGATGCCCCAAATCTCTCACTGAATTAGCATTAAGAAAATTATCCCCACGGAATATCAATACAACATACACCAGAGCAAACTGTTAATTCAGTTGCCAAAGTTGTGGACATTTAAGAACAAAGGAAGCCAGCACTGAGGAAAGATTTTCACCACTGAAAATGAAATCTGTATTGTCTTACAACTAAATTTACTGAAAAGGTTCTGCCAATTTAGAATATATGTGATGAGAAGAAAGGAGAATGTACCTTTTCATTAGTATAGTCATTGGTATATAAGGTTTGACCATGTTCATCCAATTCTTCTGACCAACCTTTTGGAGGAGAACCATACTGACTATCTGACTGGCTGTAACAAGAACTGTGGTCGTTTTCTTCAGATGAAAGCAGCTACAAGTAGTCAGAAACATACAAGCAAGTTTTAAGAATGAATATAGTTCAAAATCTGAAAGAGATCAAAGTTTACTTGGATAGAAATAGGTTTTAAAATGTAGAAATAATTCGAAGGGTGTTTCCAATTTTATTTAATACCACTAAGTCAGAAAATAAATACATCTTTAGTGTTTAGAAACTTGTCTGGTTATCACTAACTAGTTTAAAGACTTTGAATTTGAAAGAGCTAGATGACATTATAGAACAATGTATTTCCTGACATCAAACATTCACTCACCAAATTATTTTGGCATGTGTCACGTAACAAAGCAGCTTCAATTTAATTCATTTTCTCAAGGTTCCTGGTCAGTAACGGCACCTGAATTTTATTAATATACTACTATTTAACATTACTGGGCTGATCCAGTGGTTTAACTTCTAGCAATCCATACAGTCTTGCATAAGACCTAGGGGGAGCAGATACCAGCTATTTATATCAAAATCTTACTCCCAAACTCAATGTACCAAACCCCAGGAATAACCTGAAGCCCCAGCTGTACCTGCGCTAGGTCCAAGAACCCTCTCATTGAACAGATGTGCACATGCAATGGAACCTACGGTGCTCCAATTTTCCACTGGCATTCCCTGCCCTCCCCCCCCGCAACTCTGTTGCATACTATAGTGAAAAATTCAAAGGGTAGGTGCTATGCCAGGAGCAGCCAGACAACTGAGCACCAATATCTTTAAAATATAAGAAAAGAATCATTATGTGTAGGAGAGGTAAAGAATAGAGGCTTTGGGAGGTGGATGATCAGGACATTCAGGGCATGTGGAAGAAAATTTGAGCAGGCATCTCTAACTTGATACGTCTCCTCCATTTTTTATCCATGTGATAGGGTAGTCCCAAAGTCAGATGTGCCATACACCAAAAACTCCAGCATCCATCTTATCTATAGAGTCCCTTTTAGATTCTCTAGCTCCCATGGCTGGTAGCAGTTCGGACTGGTTCACTATTCATAGGAGGGGGCACATCTAGGGTTGCCAGGTGTCTGGTTTTCAACTGGAACTCCCGGTCGAAAAGGGACCGTGGCAGCTGCGATTAGCACCGCCGACCGGGCCGTTAGAAGTCCGGTCAGCTGTCCTGTGGGTCTAAGGCAGGCTAGTCCCTACCTGTCCTGGCACTGCGCTGCGCCCCGGAAGTGGCCAGCAAGTCCGGCTCCTAGGCGGGGGAACCACGGGGCCCTGCACGCTGTCCCCGCCCCAAGCACCGGCTCTGCACTCCCACTGGCTGGGAACTGTGGCCAATGGGAACTGAGGGGGCAGTGCCTGGGGGCAAGGGCAGTGCCTGGGGGCAAGGGCAGCGCACGGAGCCTCCTGGCCCCCTCTCCTCCCCCGGCCTAGAAGCTGGACCTGCTGGCCACTTCCAGGGTGCAGCGAGGAGCCAGGACAGGCAGTGATTGCCTGACTTAGCCCCACTGCGCCGCTGACTGGGAGCTGCCCAAGGTAAGCCTGTGCCCCAACCCCCTTCCCCAGCACTGAGCCCCGCCCAACCCAGAGCACCCTCCTAACCCTCCAAACCCCTCATCCCCAGGACCATCCCAGAGCCTGCACCCCCAGCTAGAGCTCTCAGCCCCCCCCAACCTCCTGCCCCAGCCCCCTCCCACACTCTGAATCCCTCATCCCCAGCCCAGAGCCCGCACCCCTTCCTACACCCTAATGCCCTGCCTCAACCTGCAGCCCCCTCCCTGAGCGCTCTTTGGACTTTTCAGATAACAGTCTGTCTTTGCAAATAATTTAGTGCATCTATATTCTGCCTCTGCCAAGCAGTTACTACTACCACTATGCCACTGCAGAAATACCATACAGTTAAATCCCAGTAGAATACCTGTGAATGGAAGAATTCTGCTAGAACAAAGTCTCATCTACTCTACTATACAAAGTCTGCCCTCAAGTTACACTCCAGTTAGGCACAAGTGCAACTATATAAAAGTTATCATCCTTGAGGATCACAGAGGCAAACGAATCTCAACTGGAATACCTTCTTCACACGTATCATGCAAGATCTTACACATGACAAAGGAATTTAGGTGGTATAGGTCTAAACTTTAATGCAATTCCTGTTTTGTGATTAGAAAAATAAATCAAGTGAAGACATTTTATATTCTTTATCTGGCAGAAGCAGTTGAAGAAGTTTAAGCAAGTCTGAGCCCAGAACTATACAAGAGACCTCCAATTCCAGGAATAACTAGGCTTCATGAGAACCCACCTCTCCCCCCAGCTGTGTGGGCTTGGAGAAAGGAAGAGAGAAACTTCAGGGAGGAGCCAGACAGACACTTAAGGGCAGCTGCAGAAGCAGTTGAAGCAGGAGCTATAAAACAATAATGATAGACTGCTTTCTCCAGTTTTCAGTCTGAATATTCTCATATTCTCTCTCCGATGCTGACTGGCTGTTTGCTACAAACACTCCTGTGTGCTCCCTCAGTCTCTTCACCGCAACCCCACTCTGTCTGCTTTCCATGCCCCCCTCCTTCCTTCCTGCCTTACATTCTTACCCTCCTCTCTTCTTGTGTTTGTCTTTTTAGCTATTCCCCTTACTAAACTGGAGCAACAAAATTAAAAACATTGTACCACCAACCTCCATCCCACACAAAACTAATGGTGCTAACATAACAATTGCAAAGCATTCTTTCCTTCCTTTCATCTTCTTTATCTATTTAGACTATAACTTCTATTTGTACAATGCTAAATGGTATCCTGTTCTCAGTTGGCTCCAAGCCACTGTTCTAATACAAATAAATACCAGAGTGAAATAAAACCTTGTGAAAGAATGAACGGCTTATTCAGTTTGTTCAATAATTGTTACAATTATACAACTGTTTTGCTTATACCAAAGGACTTACTGGATAATTAGAGATCAAACTTAAAAAGGGGGGGGGGGGGAATCAAATGTTTGGTATCAAACCAATTACATTTTGGCAGGAAAGGTAGTTTTGAACCAATCTCACTTTCCTACCAACTACCTTTAGAAGGTTCACTCACTTCTAGAATCGTATGCTTTCAAGTCATAGCTATTCCCTTAACACAGAATTACAGGTGTTCTTAAAAACTGAAGAGAAACATACAAAGTCACCTTCTCTATTCCAGTTTTTCTCTCAAAATTAGAAGTTGCATAGGCCAATTTTTTAACATTCTTGACGACATAAAATTTCCTTTCAATATTCTTTTTGTGGTTCTCAACTCTATTTAAGATCAGTGGTAAAGAGCCCGTAGTTGACATTCAACAAACCATTTTTGTAGTAGTTCTTGTTATTATGCACTATGAAAGATTCCATTTGTTCTCAGAGAACTACCACAAACTCCCAGAAAAAATATCCATAAAAAGGGTGCTACTGCAGACACATGAAGTTCTGGATTCTTTCACTATTTTTCCACTTACTGTTTATCTTCCCTATCTCCATCATCCTTCGCTTGTTCATTATTTTATCTATGCTCTTAATAGGTTTTTGAATTTCCCTTGTCCTCTGAATCTTATACATTCATAAGAATGAAGTATTTTCACCCTTCTCTCCACAATCCAATTCTCCATGGTCATCATATTGTCTCTAAAGAGATCCCTATATTTTTGTTCCTGTCTTCTGTACAGCTCTATTGCAAACCCCAGAGTTACTGTTCACAGCTATGAGAAATATGAGTGACAAAATCACCAAATCCATTCCTTTGCCAGTGTCCACCCCCCCCTTACAATATACTTTCTACTGTTTGGGTCAGTAGTGCAGCATTCACCACTTCCTTTTGAAAATTATTCCACAATTAAACTCATTAGGAAGTTTGTTTTTATTTCCATCACTCCTAATCGTAACTTTGTGTACAACCTTAAACAAGTCCTTTCCCTTTATCTATTTCAAATATTTGGCAAAGATATATTTAGTTTTTATCTAATTTTCAATCAGTCCCTACAGCCTTTGTTTTTGCTGCTCTTCTATGGATTGCCTACAACTTTCTGCTAATGAGGTATCCAGAATGGCACATTCTATTATGTTCATTTCTAAGCCATGTACAGAGAAACCACTACCATTCTCCGTGACAAAATGCCTCTTCACGTGCAGCCAAAAGTTGTATTACCCTTTTTGCTACCATACTGCATTCCTAGTTCAAACTTAACTCATTGCCCATATTCCCACATCACTTTACTGTTCAACATATTCACCCTGTAAATATCTGTTTCGCATTATTCTTCCTCAGATATATTAGCATGCATTGCCTAGGATGAAGCTCATCTAATAATTGCAACCTCCTATTTACTTTCTAGACTCCTGATTTTTAGGCCCTCGTTCTTGGTCATTAGGTACTTTTTTTGTGCTAAATACCGAGAACTTGCAGAAAACTTCACTGGAACTATATTTGTTTTTCCTTTGTGTTTATCAAGTCCCCCCCCTGTCCATTAGAAGTGCAGCTATGCTCTGAAACACTTTCACTTACTTTGCCTATAAAAAGGTACAGCTACATCAGTTTCTAATTATCTAAACTTTCCTTCCTAATCAAGGAGTTTCAGGACCAATAATGAGCTAATTCAATTGCCATCTGCTTCAGTATAACCTTACACACCCCTCAGATCTAAGTCACCTTGCTTTCCCACTTTTCTGACAAAATTTAAGTGGCCAGCCATTTCTCCCATGTATACAAACTTATAAAAAGTCCAGTGGGTTATTTCCTTTTCTATTTATGCTTGCTGTTTAACATTTTGAGATATACTCATTCATTTCAGTTAGAGACCTAAATGTGTGAAAGTACAATTTTATACATCAATCTATAAGTGAAAAGGCCTTAGATTTACTACTCTAGACCAATAGTATTAGGGTATACATTTTAAGAAAACAATCTGAATCTTGATCATCAGAGAAGATCTAGAACCAGAGCATGTGTCCTATCATAGTTGATTTTTCCTCAAATCTTTGGAGAGTCTCACGTTTACATCTTTATCATACCCAATCTTGCACTTAAGAAATATTAGCTGCACCCTGGATCTGATTATTTAAATTGTCATTGTATTTTATTGCTAGACATCTGCAACTCAACCACTAGGACTCAAGAGAATATAGGTGGCAGATTTGCCAGAAGATACAACAAACATACTTGAAAAAATTCATAGTTAAGATGTCCAACATACAGCAGATGAAAAGAGATAATTAAACTCCCAAAATGCAAACAGGAAAAGGCCCAATGGATGAAAGGGCTGAAAATTAATACGTCTGACAATTTTCACTTTCTGAAAAATACTATCTATATTATCAGGTTATAGCAGTATCTCAGAGGTTCAGAGACTGTGGAATCCAGCCACCAAGGACACAACGGTTATTTAATTTCTGAGGATCATTTGTGATTGGGAAACCTTAACCAGAACAAAGTTTACATTACTCAAAGCATGCACTCTTCAGTGGCCTTAAAGAGACTGAAAAGACATGACTGTCCGAAAACAAGTGCACAAGGATCATGAACAAAGATGAAGAACTAAACTTTAACCATCAATGAAATGAGGTATTCATCACAAAAATGAATAAAATATTCATGAGGGTAGGACCACATGGTAAGATTATGATTCAAAGGTAGGGGGAAGCCAAAAGGTAAAATGCAGCTCTTTGATGAAGGACTGAAGCAAAAAGACAAGGCCCATTGTTAGTGCTGACAGTGGAAAGAAGGAAGAAAGATGGGGTGGAAAATAATGTATACCATCAACCTATTGTCAGGAGACTGCTAGAGGGCTGGTTACTGAAGAGCTACTATTTCAACCAGACTTTGAATGAAGTCCTCTTCTAGTCAACAACCGTGAGTGGGAAATTTTTTTTTTAGCTAATGGGAGAGTGTCAGAAGCAGCACCATGACATTTACAAGCATATAATCTGCTTCATTGCTGCCTACAGGCTCTGAGGCAGTGAAACTGATGAAATGCTTGTAAATGCCACAGTGATGCTGCTTCAGAATCTAGGAGAAGCAGCAGAGATTCAATCCTGTTGGGGGTGGGCAAGACCATGGAAGAGGAATCATTTCTCTCTCTCCCCTTCCTCCTATTACAGTAATAATCCAGAGTCAGAAACTTTTGAAGCCCTCATCTTTTACATCAGGACACCAGCACTCTAAAGTTTTAAATCAGTTTTCCGATTAAGTACTTATAACAAAGTACTTACAACAAAGTACAGCTGAGGAAGATGCTTGTACTAAAAAAAAAACCAACAACAAAAATGAAATGTTAAAACTGGGCACTGAAAAAATCAAGTGGGAAGTTTGCTAGTAAATGTTTGTTTTTTCTTCCAGTCATATCAGTTTCTGAGATTCATCTAACAGTTAGACTGGCAAGATAAAAGTGTATTTTAAAAGAATTTATAATTTTAAATAAATAGTCACACCTCCCTCCAACTAGAGTTTCCTCATGTTTCTTACTGATTGGTTTACTGATATGCAAGGAGAAGAGGAAAGTGGTAAGTGGCTGCTCAGCTCGGAAAATATGCATGTACATCTTAGAAAGTTTTCAGGTAAGCAGAGATTTATTTATTTTCAGCAGTATTTCTAAGTAATAGGTTCCATGGATCTGTTATAATGACTCTTCAACATACTTGCAATTTTGAATGCTGCCTCCAATGCTACAAATATGCTGAGGTTCTACTGTAACAGATCTGTGGAATTTACTAAAAAAGACACATTATGTAAATAATGCATAGATACTATAAACAAGGGAGAGATGGCTATATAGAAATGCATATGTAGATGGAAAAATAATGTAAGAACACACTCTTTCCAAACAGGACTTAAACTGCCCTAACACAAAATTGTACCTGTCTTGCAGTCGAGTCTTGCAATTTGCAGTTTTACAGTTCTGAACTAAGACAGGTTCTACGTGACCATTCAGAAACTGTTGAAAAGCAAATTCAAGTCTAGGAAACAGGTGTTAAGGATTGCTTCCATGATGATGCATGCAATCACTGTAACTATCCCAACTCTGATGAAATCAAGTTCAAAATAAAAAATTTCAAAACTTTAACGTATCACCGTTCTCTTTTGCTTTTCCTTTTTATATAATGGCTTAAGTATGACATCTTCACATTCCATCATTGTTAATGTATCAAAATTATACTCTTTATTGCAGAAATAAAATTTACATTTCTGTCTAAAACTGACTACGAGCATTATTTCTATTCTACAAACAGTACTGTTTCTGCACATTGCCTATCAAGACCCAATAAGTGTAGATCACTGAGGAAAATACTGGGAGCAAAGCAGCATGTCTTTCCATTTTCATTCCAATCTCACTGTAGACAATTTTTTAAAGATTTGTTTTCTTGCAGATTTTATCATATTATTAATTACATGGTATCCAAACATCTAAATAACCTTTTTTTTCCTGTTTTGTTATGCATGTAACTGATTATAGAAACCCTTCCAAAATTTATAAGCCAGTCAATTAACATTAGACAATTTTTTCCAGTAACTAGCTACTATTTTGCAGCACTAAAATATGAAAAATTAACTCTTATTTCCTACCACCACTAGGAAGTCCAATAAGAATTTCTAAGGAATTATTTGGTAGTGTTATCACACTATTTTGTTTAATTTGAGCTTTAAATTTCGTTCCAATATTCCTTAAGGAAACTTGAGGAAATCCCATTTTTATTTGTCTATAGGTCAAATTTAGTCCTTCTGTCCAAGGAGGACTGACAGATCACATTCTGAGCCTAAAATGAAGCTCTTTAAAGGGCAGTGCAGGGAGAGAAAGCTAGGGAATAACTGTTCCTCCAAGCTGAGTATGATACCCTCTACAGTAAAGGAAGCTTCTGACAGCATGAAAGTGAGATGCCAATAAATGAATTTGTGCACTGTAAGATATGTTCTGGTACAGAAGAAGCAAAGGGACAATTGATCAAAGCACGAAAAAAGCCACAGGAAAGGTGTGCCAAAATTGTCTGGCCAGTGATTGACTCCACTGTTTTCTGTCCATTGAGATAGGAAGATATGCCACAAGATCCAAATCAGCATATGAGAGCACGAAGAATAATTTAGTGTGTAGACTTTCAAGCCAGCCACATCTTATTTTTCCAAGATCCTTCTTCTAGACATAACATCACTAAGAGGACAGAATGCACAAGAGAATGCATTCCACATCCTAGATGTTACAGCTGACTTACTCCACTGTTACATGGGGGCTTATTAGCTTCAAAGAAGGCCATGCACTTGTTCTTCAAAGGAAGGAAAGAAAAATAAAATACTAACTACAGGTGTCAGGTACCCAATGAGGAAGAAGCAACTCTAAAAGTGCAAGCCCAGACGTTTGGGCTCACTTCTAGTTTGGGGGCACATGAGTTTGACAGATTAGAGTAACACAAATTATACTAACACACATCGAGCCAAATGAAAGAGGCTTTTCCTCCAGAGAAGAAGAGGAAAATAATGAAAAACAATTCCTCTCTACCTCAAAGCAGTTTACATTTTAATTTTACAGTTCAAATAGGCAGCAACATAATTTACTAGCCCAAGAACATAGCCATGCATCACTCAATCTCACTGTTCTAGTTATACTGAATAACTACCTCCTGATCAGCTTGGCTCTGGGAATCCCCTTTGTTTATGCTTGCATCCCGGGTCCAACGAGGAGGTTTCCAGGTTCTTTCTTGTGTTCCTTTGTTGTAGTAGTAACAACGTCCTGTAGTATCTTTATGGGTTTCCCATTCTCCATTAATCTGAATTGGGGAACTTGTAGGTAAAGGTGGAAGTGCAGACTGAGATATTTTCAGTTCTTGTAAATTAGCATAAACTGGTGAATCCGGCCTGCCTTGGCTTGGTGGAGTAGTTGGCTATTGTGAGAGAAGAAATTAAGTATTACTTAAACTGCAAGTGTATTTTTAATTTTCTCCTTTAATAAAAATCAATTATATTACAGAAGTATAAGAGGAAATATAATTTATATAATCAAAAACGAAGTCTTACTTTTATACAGAGAGACCTTTTGCAATTAAAACAGTCAAATCAAAGTCAAACAAAAACAAATCTATTTTTTGACCCATAACCACAAGGGTTATTTCACAAACTGTATTTATAGTTTATTAAAAATCTTTAAACATTCCTGCAAATGGCATCTTTTAATGATCTCATATGGCAGACTTGTGAAAAGATAAAGCAGTATTCAATAACTGGAAGATTTCACTGGGTTTCATTTCAAGACATGAAATATTGATGGCTCGTCTCCTCCCCAAACTTGGAATGCGTGTGGAGCAAAAGGAGGGGGGAAAAGCACTGTTTTACACCTCTCATCCTCTATCTTGAAAGTGAGATAGAACAGGCAGTGCAGTCTAAAGTAGTGAGTACAGTATTGGACTAAGGAATTTGGGAATTTCACTTGAGCCTTTCCTCTGTAATTTTTTCCAAATTAACAGTCACAGAACTGAGCTAATCAATCTATTCTAAATAGATTTAAGATATTATTTAGTACAAACAAAATATTTTGCATACCACCGTAATTTATCAATGTCAACAAAAGGAATAACTTTTACCTGTCTAAACAGTAATGTGGAACAGATAAAGTTTAGTCCTAAATACAAGAAGCAGAACCACAACCAACATCTGCAGGAGAATGTAATACTACTACTAGCAACGGTAAATAAATGCAAATTTCTGCTAAGATGGTGAGCTCAGGTAGAGAACATCCTCAACCATCTACTCACAGGAAAAACTATTGGAAATTCAGACACAGAATTATGAACCACAAAACTACTTACAGGGGAAAAAACTGTCTTTTTATTTTTTAAAAATATATATAATTCTAAAAGCATAACACCACCCCATAGTATGTTAACATCACCATATGACAGGATGGATAAAAAAATATTTACATTTAAAGTATGTTTCTTTTTAAAAATAAACCTGTTTAAAATGAAATCTTACTGTAATACAAAATATGTTATGTCTAAACTTATCATAATCTCTTAAAACATTTTAAAAATAAATATGCTTAATCCATGAACCTCTATCAAAAACTGAGTTAAAGGCAACTTTTCCATACAAAGAAAGAATCAGGGGGAACAAATCTAACTTTTGAGGTCAAGCTTTATAAATATGGCACAATAAGTCATATACTGTATAAAAGGTTTAATCTTATGGGGGATCCAGGGGCTGTGCTACAGGGTGCAAGAAACTAGCAAAGTCATCACAGGCATTGGGACCCAGCCTCAGACTTTAGGACATACCATCATGTATCCCATCAGGATCACTCACTGACCACCTGGGTGGTCTCATACTCGTACTCCTATTTTATAGCTTCTCCCTACCTAAGTTCTGATTGGCTCGATTCTCAAAATGACGAATGCTTATGACTCTACCCACTATGGAAACTTACTCTTCAGCTCATGGAAAAACTCATCTACCCAGTAACTACCAGCCCTTGCTTCTGGATTGTTCTGGGCACTTCAAGTAAATGACCTTTCTCTGCCTCCTTCCATGTATACACAGACAGAGATACAAACTAACTGAAATCCATTAATTTTGCAACAAATAAAATACTGCAGTGCAAAAGGCATGTGAGTTACACAAGCAGAAGTCCTGGATTGTTATTAGTCCTTTTGATTTCTTGGGGGTAGGGGTGGGGGAGTTATGTAAAAAGGGAGAAGGAGCACAACCAGAAAAGGAGTAATACTGGTGTCAAAGCAGGACACTGTGTGAAGAAGGGACAACATTCATTTGAGTGCAGCCTCTAGTGTTGATTTCAACACATGGGAACAGAAGGAAAATACTGCCATGGCTGCAGGTTATAAAAAAGACCCTATTTGGGAATATTTTTACTTATTTTCCAGAATTTTGTGAACCTCCGGATAAGAAAGGAACACATGCTAAATGTAAACAGTGCAACACAAAGATGAAAGGCCTGGTTATCAGAATGAAAGATTATGAAGAATGCTCCCCAAAAGGAAATGACTGTTTCAGACACATCCGTATCATCATCTTCAATCTGGATTAGCTGATAAGAATGGTGCAAAAATAAATTTATTAGCCTGCTTACCATTTCTTACTATGCTAGGAAATGAAAACAGATTACTGTCATAAATTGGTGTTTTGGGTAGATTTAAGAATTTCAAAATGTTTGCATTCCAAATATAGCTGGTATGTTATTTTGAAGTGCGAGTATTTATCAATTATATTTTTACTGTTACTGATAGACTTCTGAAGTGATTTTTATCGCTGCATATAAGCAAATATCGAAGGTGAATATTTCCAGTTTAAAAGTAAAATTTTATTAGGCATTTATGAATTTTAACATTTAAAAAATGTTTTTTCTCAAGCGGTTTGGTATGTTGCTAGAAATAAAAGTTTAAATAGATTTAGATCGGGGTGGCCAACCTGAGCCTGAGAAGGAGCCAGAATTTACCAATGTATATTGCCAAAGAGCCACAGTAATACGTCAGCAGCCCCCCCATTAGCTTCCCCACCCTGCTCCCAGTGCCTACCACCCACCGACAGCCCCGCCGATCAGCGCTTCCCCCTCCCTCCCCCAATCAACTGTTTCGTGCCATGCAGGAGGCTCTGGAGGGGGGGGGGGGAAGAGTGAGGGCACGGCAGCCTCAGGGGAGGACGCGGGAAGGGGTGGAGTGGGGGTAGGGCCTGTGGCAGAGCCATGAACACCCCCCAGCACACTGGAAAGTTGACACCTGTAGCTGCAGCCCCGGAGTCGGTGCCTATACAAGGAGCCGCATATTAAACTTCTGAAGAGCCACAGGTTGGCCACCCCTGATTTAGATAATCCTTGTGATCTATTAAATAATTCTTCTCCCTAACAATGCGGGTTTAGTATAAACAGAAGTACAAGCACCTTCACAAGGAGGAACCTTTCATTTACAGATCTCTAAAAAAAAAAAATCAATGTATTGAAGAATACTCAGTGAGTAAGAGTGACTTTTCTTAACCACTTTGTTTCAAGGTCCAGCTTAGACACTGAATTATTAACATCAAACATCTGCAATATCTACAACTTCAGAGTCATCTGCCTGTACCACTATCAGCTAAACAGTCTTTTTTTGATACAAGTAACTTGCCGTCTTTCTTCATTATCTAGTAAAACCATGAATGAGTTCATAATCAGGACCAGCAAATTCCAGAAAGACTCCATAGATAAAAAGATAGCTGAGTTCATTTATAAAACAAATTCTCCCTTTTGTCTTGTTCAGAACAAACATTTCATTGACATGGTTCAATCATTATGACCAGGCTACAGGCCACCTGGCAGAGCAGACATTGCCAGAACATTGCTGGATACACTGTACCAGAAGGAAATTGAACAGTGTGCAAAAAAATGTTGATGGGAAATTCATTAATCTGAGTCTTGATGGGTGGAGCAATGTACACAATTATCCAATAATATATGATTGTGTGATATCAGCAGATGGAGTTGTCTATCTTACAGAAACAATTGATACATCAGGAAATGCCCATAGAGCAGAATAATTAGAAGTAGCAGCAGTAAAAGCCATAGCAAACTGTAAACAAAAATTGAAGTGTCAAGTGTGTATCTTTGTCAAAGACAATACCACAAATGTAACAAAGATTAAAAGAAATCTAGAAGATATTGAAGTAACCTGAAACGTATAACAGATGGGTGCAGTGCTCATTTGATTCCTCTTTTAGCCAAAGACTTAAGTACAACTCCAAGAATAAAGGAAAAAGTTGAAACTGGAAAATACTTCCATAAGAACCGCTTTGCTTCAGTTTCATTGAAGAGAGCAGGACTCTCCAAACAAATTCTCCCCCAAGATGTATGACGGAATTCAGTGGTTGACTGTTTTGACCTATTTATCAAGAACTGGCCTATTCGGATTACTATTTCTGAAGAAAATCATGACAAAAAACACATGGACCAATCAAAGCCAAAGTAGTCAACATTGGACTAAAAAGAAATGTAGAAGATCTGCTGAATATACTGAAACCTATGTCCATAGCCCTGGACAAACTCCAAAAAGATTGTTGCTCTATTTCTGATGCTATTGAAATTTGGAAAGAACTTCGAGACACTGAAGAAAAAAATACCCAACAACAAAGTTAAATTGCAGGCAGGCAGTAATGAAGCAGATGGATCAAGCTCTTATTCCACCTCATTTTCTTGCCAATATTCTCAACCCAAAGTACCAATGGATAGATGCCTAACTGCCGAGCAAGATGCTGATGCTATGACATGGGCATCTAATAATCACCAATCAATCATGCCAACCATAATAAATTTCAGGACTGAAGGTGAACCATTCAAGCAGTATGAAGAATATTTTCTTCATTTGGAATAATTCATTCAAAATTGAGAAGGTGACTAGAAGCTGAAAACACAAGAAAACTTATCTCTCTCTTCCAGTCTATGACTAAAACCAAGACAGAAGGTGATGGGAGCTACTTATTTTAGTAGTTTGAAGGACAGCCTTTAGTAATTTAGAAAATTGTCTATTTTCAAGAGACTTAGGCAAGTAGAAACTTAAGATCTAGTCACTTTCATTTAGGCATTTTTGAAAATTGTCTCAAGCTGACCGGAAATAATCAGTTCAATTCACGGACTACAGTTAATCCCTCTGTTCCTTTAATAAATCATTTAGTTGTAAATGTGAAACATGTTTTGGTAAGAGAAGTTTATGTATCCAAAACATTTAAGATTGTTTTGTTTAATAAAAATAAATGCTATATGCTATTGTGTGTTTAATTAAATTCCAGTTACCATTCTAATGCAGCTTGACACATATCATGAGCATAAAAGTTAATTTTCTAGTAAACAAGCAAATATATCGTTCACCATTTTCTAACATCCTAAAACTGTACAATTAATAAGAAT